AGGTTTATCTTTATGAGTGTCGGTACAATAGAATGCGCCTGGGGGTAATACTTGCAATTCCAGAGACTAGCAAAAGTAGATGATCATTCGTTGCTCGAGGCCCAATTATTAGGCTGAATGCGAATATAGGAAGGCTGGGACCAGCAGGGGACTGGCGTGAAGACGGTTAGTATGCGTAAGCGCCAGCCGACTCCAACATCAGTAGCTATTAAGAGAAGTTAACGAACGGGATCGCACAGTTATTAGTGACGACGAAGAGTCGAAATTGGAGTGAACGACCGAACCAGGACCAATGATGATTTAGGGATTTTTGGGGGGATTTATATACGGTTAGCTAAAGGCGGGATAAAAGAGCCTCGAATGGCGGTTAGCGAAAGAAAGGATCTGGAATTGAGGTATTGACCCTCCTTTGCACAAATTTGCGCAGATTCGAAAACGCACAAAGCTGGCAAGGTTCGTTATCAGTGCCAAGCTATTTTTACTTTTCCACCATTGATTCTAGTGGATCAATTCTGCCGGCCTCATGACGTCGTTATGATCATTTTTAGCACGCGACCCTTCTTCCACCCTTTGTTGCACTTTCTGACTTATTTTCTTATCAGGAAAGCACCGCTTCACATCTTATCACTTTTGTTTTATCGGTTTTTGCTCTTCAGAAAACCCGTCTCGGGACTCAGTTGCTTCGTATTGTTGTCGGCTTTTACACTGATTGCTTTCGGTAAAAAATTATCGTTCATAATGGCACGGCGCGCCATATTTTCCCATTTAATTTAACTCTTATAGCACTCAGTTCACCGATTATCACCTTTTTTTGCTCTCTCTCCAGACGAATTTGGCCTCCTTTCTTCGCTAAAATTTCCATTCGGCCTTTACGAGATAGAAAGCCATTTAGAAAAGGTGTGAATGCATTTCTGTCATCACCAGATCAATTGCAGCGATGTTATTTCGCGTGTGACAAGCTGTGCTGTCTTCTATTTTTAATTGTCTCTGGCTATATTTCAGCAGATGTGATAAGCGGAAGCGTTGTTGATGGTGTGCGATGTGGAGTCGCCGTCCGGCTAGCCTTCCTCGTCCTCCACGTCTACTGCTTTCAAGAAGTTATTCATTTATCATTGCGTGAGCCGGGAATTATTTTCAATATTTTAAGCTAACATTTCTTTTAGCAGCAACTTGTTACTTAAAAATATGCGATTTTAATTATAAAACTGTATAAAATTTTTTTGGCCTATGAATCAGGAATGCGACTGCATTCCTGCGTGTTTACAGTTTTCTCTATTTTTGTCTTTTTTTTTTATGCCCACAGAAAATCTTTCCCTTTTTCATTTATATCCTCTGTTATCTTCTTTTAACCTCGTTAGTCCCATCCCCTTTTTCTTTATCATCCCTTTTTGTCACCTTTTTCCCTACATTCCAATATCCCTCCAAAATCATTACATCATCTTACGGGGCAAACCTTAAGTCTCTTTGTGAACCATCCATTGTTTTCATCGGCGCCTTAGTTTTCTGCAACTACCGCCAATAACATCTTATCATATTCACTTCCCACGAAACCCACTGTCATCCACTAGCGCGACCCTGTCACTTTCACTACGGAGCCTACGGTTATGCAACATCTTGCGAATCCCTGCTAAATTTCTGCCATATGCTTGT